GCCGAGGAGACAGCATCAGGCCAGGGCTCACTCCGTCCGCTGCCGGAGCGCCCGGCCTTTGCTCTCCCGAGCTGCTGCGGCTGAGCAACTAAAAGCATTTGTTGTTCTGGGGGAAAGTGAATGACAGCGACACTGAGGCAGACATCACCTGGTCCCCGTCCACCTAGCCCTACCCTGGACAGGAGGAGGGACCCTCCGCCCACCAGGTGAAGCCTCCAGAGCCATTCTGTCTGTTCTGGGGAGGGGTTGAAAAAGGAGAACATTGTTCTAGCGAGGCAGGTAAGATTCCAATAACATTCCATGCTGCTCCTATTTTCTGATGGTAAGCAAAGGGCCCAATTCCAACAGGGAGAGGAAGTGATTTAACCCCTTCAGTTCACAAAGCACCATTTCTTTTCCAGGGGCTGAATGGAGACCTTAGAGACCCAAAGAGGTGAACCCATTTCCAGAAAGTATTTCCTTTCTTTTGCTGGGAAGACCAGATCCACTTTGTATATAATTTTTCAAAAGCTGCCACACTTCCACATTCTGTCATGGTCCTAGGTAATAAGAATGCTATTGACAGTTTTACAGGAGAAATTAAGGTCTGGACTTTTTTTGCAGTCACAACTTGCAAAATGATGACAAGCCAAAGTCTCTTGCCAAGGTCACACTAGTTCAGGGAAGGGAGATTTCTGTAAGGCACGAAATTACATAAGTAATACCTGTTCCACTAGTAACTGTGACATGTATTAGCAAACGTGAGGTTCCTAAAGTTTTCGGAAGAATGCCTGCCTCTCAGTGTCCTGTACTGCTGTATACCTATAAATAATAAAAAGGCTGGTAACATTGCTTTATGTAAGCAAGCTTAGAAATCACTCTCAGATTAAGTGCTTTGACCTAAATCTTGTAGCACCTTGCTCTGGCATCTAACCCCGCAACTGTGAAATTCTGTAGGAGATTTAACAGTCTCAAACTGCCAACTGACCCAGCCATAACGCAAGCAGAGATAAAGATTTACAGTCCAACATGATACAATTAGACACTCACCTTCTATTTATTTCAGCGCAGCTAAGCATTTAACCTACTTAAAAGCCGAAGCTTTTTCATTAAAATAAAAATGCTTGTTTATCAATTCATTCTGTGCCACCTCCCCAGCATCCTACAAATTAGTCTATTATAAATGAAAAGATAACTTTGTTTCAGAGAAAGGAGTAAACAGAAATGGTTTCTGTAAAATCCTTCTAGACATGGAAAGATAAAAGATGGCTTTACCACACAAAATAATCAGATACAAATAGCTGTTCAGAAGCAGCACACCTAAGTACTTTAATCAAATATTTAGGTTACCTGCCAAAAAGACCATGATCTCTTCAAAATGCAATGCGGATTAAAGTGTTATCTAACACAAGCAGAAAACTAACCTTGGAGTGGAAGTTTGAAATGTGTTCATCATAATTTTCATGTCTCTGGATAGAGAAACCAGCCTTTTCAGCTAGATTGCAAAACTGGTTTAAAGTAGTCCCTCGGCGTGGGGCAAATACCATCGCTTTCCCCTAGAACATTAAAAAGGAAATTTACACATTTTAAAACTGGAAGGCAACCAAACATAACAGACATTGGTCAAAGCATTTAACATACTGCTCTCAGGTAGAAAACTCCATTGTTCTTAAGACACAGGATGGGCATTCACAGTGAGAGTAATTTCACAGATAGATAACAAGTAAGAAAAAATATATACTTCATATTCAAATGGCCAGTGGCTTTTCAAACAACGCATGTAATAAACAAAATGTGACTCAAAGTTGGTATTCTGTACCATACACACCTCTTTTGGGTCCAGTGGTTTAAACGAAAGCACCAGATTTTAGAGTGGTCCAGGGCAGTGCCACCCACCTTGCAACTCACTAGCAGCTGCCAACACATCACAACACGCCTCCAGAGCATGTGGCAGCCGATGCCTATAAATGTTAGTTTATTGTGCCCTGAAAACTCAGTACCAAGAAATCCTCCATGGAGACAAGTAACCACAATCCCTATTGGAGAATTTGCATATTTCATTCCTGCCACTGGTGCTGTCAGACTCAAGGCTGCAGGGACCTTGGTTTCCAACGTCACTGAATCCTTCAAGATGGTCATCATTACAGCAAAGCAGCTCCTCAGCACTTAAATGACTGCTTTTCAAAGAAAGTGGTATAGTGAGGGTAAACAGGCTTTTCTAAATAAGTTGCACAACCTTGTGGGACTGTCGCAGTGGGAAGAATGGAGGACTTGTATACAATATATACTGGATTTCAGAAGACCATCCGACATGAAGCTCCACGATGACACGTGCTAACTACTGGGTGCATGTGGATGTTTTCCTCTCCCTCTCAGATGTGCACAGAATGGCTCAGCTTCAGAACCTTCTTTGCTTTTTATTTGTTCAAAAGATGACTGTATGCGTCTGTTAATTTCAAGGTTACACTTCACCTTGATGAGATGCCACTTCAGGTTTTGAGGGAATCATGAAGATACATCCTACTTTCTTATGAAAGGTGGTTTATCAGTCACACCTGCCAACTATCTGTTGAGAATGTGGAACGTGTCAGACACTGGGAGAGTGGCTCTCTATTCACTGTCTCCCTTAGTCATCAAACCACCAAAACGTGGGAGTATCAGCTCCATTTGACAGGATGCTCAGAAAGGTTGAATAATTGGCCAAGATGACACAACTGGTGAATGACTGGAAAGGTATCTGACTCCAGTGCCAGCTCTCTTTCCTGTACACACATTGCCTCTTAGTACTAGTGATGGCAATACTAATAATAATAGCTACCATTGTGCTAGGTGCTTCAACCTCCCCTTGAATCCCCTCAACCATTTTCTCAACAACCTGGTAAGGGAGATGTAACATTTTACAGACGATTAAACATGCAATGAAGGGAATGAAGAACCAGAACTGTGTGGCAGAAGGGGGTTTTGGACTTAAAGGGAGTCTTCACCATCAAAGAGCTGTGTCACCTCAGGAAAATCAGAAAACTAGTCATAGAGCTGTTGAGCTAGAAGGGACCGTGGGGATGTGAGTCTAATCTCATTTGGCAGACAAGAAACTCAAGTCATCGTAGCTGACCCACTGGGATTCCTCTTCCATCAAATGGGAAGAACAAAGCCTGCCCTGCCCCAACCCCCAGCAAGTTGTGAGAATCAGATGAGGTGATGGAAATGAAAATAGTTTGAAAAACAAGGTTAAATAGGTGTAAGACTAGAAATATCTACACCACCTAACAGTGCTATAAAATGCCATCAATTCTCTCTCCCTGTCACTCTCTTTCCCTCATTTACCTGCAAGAAAATACATGGATACACTGTCCTGGACATCAAGTGTGTTTTCATACTGTGTTTACATAGACGTGTACATACTCAGGCACGTAATTATAGCAGCACCAATCATGCCAACACACTTAAGGTCCTGTCGGCTTTTCTAATATTAATTGCTATTTTCAGGTGGTTTTCAAACTTAGCAGTAAAAATTCACTTTGATGTGAAACTAGATATAATACATGGTCTCAGCAGGGGGGCAAAAGTCTCCATTAAAAAAAAGAGAGGGAATACTAGTAGGTCATTTTAGTCATTCCTCAGCGCTGGTTGCCATGCTGGATTTTTGAATAGTGGAAGTGTGTGTTTTTTTAAACTCACTTGCAAAAATTGTCATACAATTACAATGAAAGAGTTGATTTTTAACAGCTATTATCTAAGCCAGTGATTTTCAGCCCTTTTCATCTCATGGCACACAAAAACTACTTACTAAAATTTTGTGGCACACCAAAAAATATATTTTTTGCCGACCTAACAAAAAAATAGGTATTTTGATTGATTTACAAAAAAAAAATAATAATAGTAATTACCTACCCTTTTTGCTCCAAAGTGACTTTTTAAAAAATCAGCTGCCTACACTTGTATATAAGGATTTCTGGTACCAAGAATTAACCAATCAGGTGCAACCCTATATGCGACGTGACTAATAAGACGCAACTCTATTTATTATATGACCTATATATTTATGGCTATTGTTGTGTTGGTTGCTGTCATTTTTTTATTTGACAATCTAAGGGAAAAGAGGTCAGTGTCCCTGACTAAGTAGTTGGAAAACGCTGATCTAAGCTATTTATCATAATGTTTGCAGGGCTACAGGGTCCTTGGGAAGGCTGATGCTGGCATTCACAAAGCACATGCTCTCCGCCCCGCACCCTCCTGCTGGCTGGGTGAGCTGCCAGGGGCCTGCAGCTGAGCACATGGCAGCGCTCTGCCCGACAGCTCGTTCCTCCATTAGGCCTCGTCTACCGGTCCTCCTCTAGCCACCCGATCTAGGAGAGCAGCCCCTCCTCAGCATCATTCACCCCTCCCTGCTTTATTCTTGTTCTTGGCACACGTTATCTCCTTGTTGGTCACTGCCCGTCTCCTCTGGCCGGCATGCACACTCCATGACAACTAATGTTTAGTCACTGCATTTTCTCAGGGCCTAGCATATAGTACACACTCAGTATTTGTTGAGAGAAGAAACCAGATCCAGACATTGAATAATCTGAGAAATACGAGTCTTTGGGAATTCAGAGGCCATGTTCTATTGCTGATTCTTTAAAGAAGATTTTCCCCAAGAAGCATTTATAGAGTCAGCAACTGTGATGGGACTGGAGAGGCGGCGCTCTGCACAGCACTGTGCCCGCAGGAAAGAGGACGGGCAAGCGGGAGTTAATCTCTAATTACTCGGGGACCACTTTCAAGGTGCTTCCTTTTCCATTTCACTGGTTTCCGCCATTTCTGAGACGTGGGTTCAGAGTTAGGAGGGACAACAGCACGTCACCCGTTCATTCAGCGAGCGTCCGCTGAGCCCTACCGAGTGCCCGCCCCGCCCCACAGTGAAGGTTTTAGGGCCACGCCCAGTGCAGCCAAACCCTTTGCCTCGAACAATCAGAGGAACGCGCCTCATGATTCAGGCCACAACAATCAAAACAAGAGAAAAACAGATTTCAAATTAGCCCATCATTCAGAAAAATTATTTTCAATTTACCAGAGCACAAGTTTCTAAGCATTCACAGCCACAGAATCATTTCCAACTCAGAATGAACACTCAACTGAATGTAAAATTTTGACTGATGAGCAGAAATTTGAGGGAATTTGTGTTTCCCTGGAGAGGAGAGGAACTCCACTAAACAACAACGATACTGTTTACATTGTGAGTGCCGTGGCTGCTGTTTCGCTAGACTAATCTATACTCACATATTAAAGGGTGTGCACTGCTGGAAAAAATAAGTATGCTTCAGACTTATTTTAAAAGGAATATGCTACGCCAACGAAATGCCTTTATTCCTCTTTCAGTCCCAGGCAGCCAACTATTAAACACCGCTTACACGGCTAAGCTTCTGCTTATTTTTAACCTTTTCTTTACCAGGGTTCGGAGATGCTACCTCCTGCTTCCTCCTCGACATCTCCCTGTCCCCTTCCCTGGCTTCTCTTCTCCCACTTGCCCCTTAATTGTCAGTGGTCCCCAGGGCTCTGCCTACTTTCTATTCATATTCTATACAGTTCTAGGCCACTGCACCAAAGTCCAGAGCTTCACCTGCCACTTACACATCAAAACTCACGAGCAGATAACCGCAGCATTCACCACGGCCCAGGGCCCGCACCCGTATTTTCAGGTGCCTACTAGATCTCTCCGTGGTGTTCTGAAAATACCTTTACCCCCTTACATCTAAAATGGAACTCAATGTCCTTGCCTCCAAACTCCTATCCTTCCGAGGGCACTACCCATCTCTCTCTCACACACACACTCAGACACACACACTTAGAGGAAGGGAGGAAGAGAGAGAGAAATATCAACATGAGAGCGAACATCCATCAGCTGCCTCCTGCACACCCCCTACCAGGGATGGAGCCCACAACCCGGGCATGTGCCCTGACCGGGAATCGAACTAGCAACCTTTAGGTGCATGGCGCGATGCCCAACCAACTGGGCCACATGAGCCAGGGCGAGCTGTTAGATTTTTTTTAAAAATGAGGAACTCTGTCAGTAAAAAGAAATTGCTCCTTTGAAACGAGAGCCCATGGCTTACATTTATAGCACAAATTCTAGGTCTCCAGGAATTTGGCGGTCACTTAGGGCCTGTTTCTGAAGAAGGTTAAGTGAATTCCACAGTGATGTTTTTGAATCCTTAGCAGCCGGGCAGCAGCGCTAACAAGCCGGGGCCTGTGAACATCGCCCCCATGCATCTGCTCGTGGTCCCGAGGGCGCTGACGCTGTCTAGCGGGCCCGCACTCCCGTTTTCCACGCCGCAGTTTGGTCCAGGCTCCTCTGCTCCAGTCTCTGCCCCTCCGGGGCCTAAGTAAACGCCTACTCCAGGGCCCTGCCTCATCCTGCTTGGAGCGCATCAGTATCAGCTGTCAGCAGGAGGGCTGCTCTTTACCGGGGCTGCTGTGTGGAGCCACACTTCAGGCAAGCGGGGAGTGGGGCTCAGGCTTTAATAGAGGGGACAGGGGAGCTGCTAGAGATCCCAGTCAATCTGCATTTAGGTCTATTCATAGCTTGGGCCATTTTCTATTGTAAATCATGGACTGATTTACGACAGATCCTGGGTAAATCATGCAAATCTGCTGCGAAATGGAGCATCTGCCACAAACAGGCTTTGAAGGGGTGTTGGTGATGCGTGGAGTAGTTTGTTCAGTGTGAGACCCAGGAGTCCTTGAAGCACTGTATTTATGTGTGATACATTTTCATGGAGGCCTTTACATCCAAGAGTCTCGGTGCCCTCTCTGAAAATCCTGATCTTGCAAATGCTCACAAGAATCAGCCAAGGCTCACAGGGGGGTGAAGAGGCCCCCAAATTCCCTTTTCTATGCTCAGCTCAGGCCGCTCACCCAGCCAGGGCGCAGCCATCAACAGCTTGGAGCGTGTCCCTTCCTTCCCCAAGGCCTGCTACCCACCCCACAGAGGGACTGAGAAGGCCAATCTCCTTTAATTGATTACCACTTACAAAGCTGTGGTTACTCCTCTGAGAGGCTTAAAGTTTCTCAGCTACAGAGAGATAAAATAAAAAGCAACAGTGTAAGGCAAAGGGCGATTATCAAATTACTCTGGGAGCCTTCACTGAGAAAACAGATACAAAAGGAATACTGAAAGGTATTAGTCTATAGTCTCACTGAGGCCAGAAGGTTGGAGCGAGCCCTCTTTTTAAGAAGACGTTAGAAACAAAACTTAAAAAATACTTCACACACACACACACACACACACACACACACACTGCAGTCTTTTCTCGCTAAATGTGAGTTCCTGTCTTACACTGCATTAACATTGTTAACCTATTTTAAATTCGATGGTACAGCAAGAGCCTTACATCCTTATAAGATTTTTTTTTTTAAATGCATGAGCTTTAAATGCATTTTCTTACTTTAAATAGAAGTATATTAGCTCTCTGTTTAGGCAGCAAGACCTCCCAGCTTAGCATAACAGCCCAACAAAATAAGAGTGGATACAAACTCTGTAATTTACTCACAGGCATAAATGGATGTATAAATGTAAAAACGTGCACAATTTTTATGCCATGCTTGGCTTCATTGTGACCTAATGTTTATAATATGTAAATAATGGCTTCCTTTTAAAGCAAAGAACTTTTAATACACAGAGTCATCTGAAGTCCTTTTTCTTTAATATACACAGAAATAGAAAGACAAAAAATTATTTTGCAATAAATAAAAACCCAATGACAAAGGTTACCATTGAAGGGATTTAAAATGACAGAAGTCAACAGAAAACTTTCAATATCATACTTCTACTTTCATATGAAGATATTGTTATCAAAGGAAAAGACTCAAGAAATTCTTTGATAAAAATAATCTCACACTATCTTTGAAGCAGTTTCATTTATTTTACTACCCACTGTGTTCCTTATCAGAAGGCCAGGGGTAAGAAGTTTCCTCGTTATGATTAGGGAAGAATCTGATAGATCAGAAGACCCAATTGAAGTTGGACATAATAAGAATTAAAGTATTACATGACATTAATCCTGCCATTCCCTTACTCTCTCCATCTTTGTGCACAGACTAATTATTCTGAAGCCAGTGTTCAGGAGAAAAGAGAAACATACTTACCCTGGGCTGGAGTAATCTCTTTATTGCATCAACAAGGCTGGCTCTGTACTGGTCCAGAAACAGGCTGACATTGAGAAGAGAGCAGAATCCAGATTAAACTGGGTTTTCAAGTCTAATGATACTAATGGAGATAAGTACAGGGCTAATTACCTATGTTTACTCAACACTAAAAAGAAATTGTTTCTTGCTATTCAAATGTCTTACTGAGGGGAAAAACAGATATTGTGATCAGTGGTATTGCAACCGAAGCCAAGTCATCAACATGCAACGGGCCAAGATTCACGCACACTGGGCCGTATGTTATTGTTAAAGGCACATCTTCTAAGCTTCTGTTGGGGGAGTCATCTGGCTGAGGTGACGCTCGCCCAGCACTCCGTCATTGGAGCTTCGTCTCTATAGACCTGGGCCCTCTGCACATGGAGGGTGCTGTGAGGCCGCCCTTCAGAAACAAACCGCCAGCCCTGTTACACCCAGACCACAGAGCCCTCTCAGGTGGTGATGGTTTTTAGCGACTAGGAACAGCACTGAGGTTAGACTCAACCAGTGACCCAGGACTAAATGGATCACTTTGTTCCAAAAACAAAGATGAGGTTTAGGCAATGCGTTACGGAGACCATGGCAACTCCGGATCCCCCCCACCCCCTTGATCTACATGTTGATTTTTCTGCAGCTCACTGTCATCTTTCTTTTGAATCCTTTGGTCTTTTGAGAATTTCTGTTGTTCTGTCATTCCTTTGGCCGGGTCAGTCTGACCCTGTCTTCACCAAGCCTTATCTTGGAAGCTTGGGACAGAGTTTGCTTCTCTGGGACTCACAGGCTAGAACTCTGGGCAGCCTTGTGTGTCGGCCGTCCCATGAGGAGCCTAAGCGGGGGACCCTACTCCCATTTCCAGGGCTGCAGTTTGGTGTAGGCCCCTCTGATTAGCCTTCCTGCTCCTCCCACAGCACAAGTAAGTCCACCTAGGGCCCTGCTTCACCCTTCTCGGAGCTAAGGGGAGTATCAGCTGTCAGTAGGAGGCTGCTATGTGGAGCCACACTCCAGGCAAGGTTTAATGGCGCTATCTCTGACCTTCCTCCTGTGTCACCTTGGACAAGTCACTTCACATGAGGCCTCTGTGTCTTTATCAATAAAGGCCCACCTATGTGGCTGGGGTGGAATCAAATTAATAATATATGTTAGTTGACAAATACTTGTCACCACCTACTGCACACTAGGGGCTGTTTCAGGCATTAGAAATAAGCCACGAAGAAGACAAAGCTCCCACCAACAAGGGGCTTGCAGTCTGTTCATTCACGGGTCACTAGTTCTAGCACAGCACACACGCGCAGAAGGGACTCGATAAATGGTGGTTGACTGCCTGGCTGGCAGATCAACACAGTCCTTGAGATCGAGGTTGCACCGGTATTTCGTAAGGAAGAATTGACATTTAGGTAGCATGTTTCACCAGACTAGGTTCTCTTCCAGTTCTCCTATCTGAGAAGTGGGGAGTGCAGTTTATGAGAAGTTTCCAAGAAGTTAGTCCTTGGGTTTTCCCATGACATGATTAGAAGGTTCTATAAAAGTATGCTCTGAGCAATGGACAAAGAATACTCTTAAGATAAGCTAGAAATCACGTCCAGAATGGGAACCTTATCCCACTCCTTCCATCAGTCAGGATAACCTGATTACCACCCACGGGAAAGTTCTCTTATTGCTCCAGAAAACACATGCTTAAATCTCAGAGCACAGAATGCTAATTCAAATGCTACACAAATTTGCCTTTAAGTCATATTAATTGGCAATTAATAACCATTAAGGATTGATAAGAAAGAAGAAAAATTGTATCTAAGTGTCTTAAAATTTTTTCTCTTGAGGACTATAAACCTTATTCTTTACTGAGATAATGATATATTAAGTTGTAATAATTAAGCATTCTGGTTTCATCTTTTAAGAAGACTCTCACTGTGGGAAGGTATCTCTGTCAGATACTCAGGCCTATAAAAAACCTGGCTGGTTGGGATACATAGCACTAAGCAAAAGACCATGCTCAGTTTATACCTGTGCATCCTAAGAGTTGGTAAGATCGTTAGAATAAACAAACAGCATCTTAAAAGCTGAGTTTAAAAGATAAATTTGTAAAGTATTATTTCTATTTAGTGTTGATAATGGTGACAGAGATATTAACATCACAGCTCACTGGAAATGCAGCTTAACACACAGTACACATTCCAAACACAGCTATCCAAAGGGTAATGTCTACTCCATCACTCCAAATCAAATTTCCCTAAAGTAATTCTTGCAGTTCTCTAAGTGGCCTTTATTCCAGCAAGCTCACCCTTCTCCTTAGCCCTGGTGCAGAATTTCTAACGCTTTGTAGGGTACGTCCTACGAGCAATTTCAGTGTGCTTTAGTAGGAGCGATACATAATCTCCTGAAAATTCACCCCTTAAATAGTCCTAATGGGCTCAGAGAACAGCAGTAGCGTAAGTGGATCTATTTAAAAAGGCTGAGTGGGTCAGTGACTGGGATGGAGATACCATTTCGACTCTCCCTCCAGTTACTGATCAAAATGCGACAGTCTAGTTCGGCCATTAAAGCACACATACGTGCACACATGCACACACACCTCTACATAATTCAATTGTGGAATCAACACTGGCTTTGTTCCACTGATCTGAACCACAGACTTTATGAGAAAGGAAAGGTGCCAGGCCATTTTCATCCCTCCCTTAGAATCCGTTAGTTTTATGCAGAGCACAGAACATTTGCAACTCCTCTCATAGGGAAATTAATTAGTGCAGAGAACAAGGAGGCATTTCTCTGTCACTTTCCACAAAAAGGAAGACCTCAGTGTAATTCTCAAGGTGGAATGTGCTGAGTTAAATTCACTGTTTCGGGTTCACTTTCAGCAGAAAGTGAATCAACTGATTAACTGTCAGCAGGGATCAGCGGGTTGGTGTGGAAGCTGGTGCTGACCCCTATTCTGCCCCTGCCTAGCTCTGTCCCTGAGGTGGCGAGACCTTTGGCCATTGGCCATCTTTGGGACTGCGCTTCCTCAGGTGTGAGAGGAAAGGACTGACTACATTTGGGTTAAAGGTCTTTTCAGGTGTAAAGTTCTTTGAGTTGTGATTTAGAAATATCCGTGATTACAGCATCTGAAAGAAAACAAAGAAATTCTAGAGCCTATTTTGAGAAAAAAAATTTTCATAAAAACCAAACTTTAAAAAAATCATTAAGAGTAAAGTAAAAATGATAGAAAGCAGAAACAATCCACGGTACAGAGTCAAAATGCTGAGAGAGCAGGGAGGTGCCGCCCCTTCCCATCTCCTTCCCAGGTCTGGGGCTGCAGGCGCGGGTGGTGCGCAGGGCCCTGCGGCCCGCGCTCCCGCCTCAGGCTATGGGTGGCATTTCAGGCTCGCTTTCCAAGCCTTTGGAGAGTCCGAGAATCACTTTTATTTTTGCAGAGCTACAATAAACTGGAAAGCCATCAAACCCTGAATGAAAGTGTTCATTGGATAAAAAAAAAGTCTTACTTCCAGACTCTCGGAGATTATTGCGATTGAACAGGAGCCTGGAAAGGCAGCTGAAAATTAACGATCACGCGCTATTCTGAACTCAGCAAGGACGGGGCTGACTGCATTCCAGCACAAAGGGGCTCACATGAAATTCAGCACTGAACAAGTCAGCCAAGGAACTTAACAGGCAGCTCTTTTCTACACCTGTGGTTAAATATTCTAATATTTTGATGTTTGTCCACAGCATCCTTTTGCAGGTGTGGCTGTACCTCGATTTTCCCCTCTGCCTATTTCAAAGTTGACATTTTACAAGTTACTTAGGAACTGTTGAACCATGAAACTGTATTTCATTGTCATAAATACTGAATGGTGAAATAATGACTAGCTTTCACAGTTTGCCTTTTTATTTTATAATCTGGTTGAGCTAATAATTTAGATGTGAACCAAGAGACTGTCTCTTCTGGGAAATAAGTTATTTCCCCCAGTGCCCACGGGTTTATGAGTGTTTGAATGTAAATATGTGAATATATGAATGATTTAAGAACATAAACATATCGCCGCTTGTTGTAATCATGTGCATTTTACTTGAACCACAATGTGGGCTGGGAATAGGTTGTGAATAGCGCTTGTTTTCATGTAAATGGGATCAAGCAGTACCACTGGTTAGCTATTCAGGGAATCAGACAATGCCACCCTTGCTGGAAATGCTTCAAGAAGAATCTAATCCATGTGCCTAATATTTGAACTCTGACACTGGCTTCCTCCTTCTGAGCCCTAATCCAGATCTCACTGGCTGGCGACGACTAAAGGATCGGGAGAGACTTAAGTGATCTATTTATGTGTGGCACCTATTTTTGGCACTGAGTATTTCAGGTTTCATCTTGAAGGTAGTGTCTAAAGGGAGCTTTCTTTTCCTCCTCTGTGACATTCTAAAAAAAAAAAAAAAA